GTGTCTGTAGCGTGGATGAGGTGTGCCTCTACCACAGACGTGCAGGAAAGGTCAGTGGTGTGTCTGTAGATGAGCTGCAGCACTGAGCTGTCATTATAGTTCAGTGCAGAAAGCCGATTAGCTGCTTGCTGTCAGCTGAGCTTGCAGCTGCTGTTGTGAAGAGGACACGAAACGCACACTGGTCCGTCAGTACTGGATCTGTCGGTACCGGCCCGTCAGTCGCTCTGCGAGAACAGAGGTGACGGGCAGCGGGCCTTCCTCCCTATTGGCCAGCGGGCGTGATAACAACCGAGGTGCGGCGGACAAAGCGCAGCTCTTACCCAGAACAGGATGTTGAATCCAAAGATGAAGTATTTGATGCAGCAGCTCACTTCTTGTCCTTTGAATTGATTCCCCGACATGTTGGAGCATCATCCGTGTTCCTGCGTGACGGAGAGAGAGAGAGAGAAGAAGAAGAAGAAGAAAAAAAAAAAAACCACGGCCTGCTTCTCAGGCTTTGTGTGCGGGATGGAACAGGTTCAGCGCCCCCCGGGGATGCATCTCACTTCGTCCGCCTCAGACAGCTCCTGCCGCCGCGTCAGCACCGCGTCGGCTCCACGGCGAGCAGGGCCGCTCGCGGGCGCGGCGGGAACGACGGGGTGCGGGAGAGAAAATGGAGGTTGACGGAAAACCACCGACGAGCAGGGGACGATGCGAGCCGCTATCTGAGGAGGCGGCCCCGCGACTGCGCCTGCGCGTCGACGATTGGCTAGAAGAAGAATTGAAGGACCGAGAGCGCGGCCAATCAGATGAGAGGGAAGTATGAGGCACTTCCTATGTGTTTTTTTTTTATGAAGAGAAATAAACCTTCCATTTAATTTACTTCCTGTCTACTCTCTAAGTTTAATTGTTAATTGTTTGATAATGTCCTGTTTTACTGAATGAAATAGTAAGTTTTCGTATTTTAAACCTCAAGAACTCTCATTTCTTAATGTGTTCCTTATTTTTTTTTTATTTTAAGCATACTGGAATTAAACATCCAATTCTTGTTTGAGTAAATCCTTCTGTTTTTAGTTTGAACACATAGATCACACTGTGATCAGTGAGGGGATTAGCAGAAATACCACCGCTGATTTCATACCTGGAGAAGTGGTTTTCAATTAACCAGTAGTCAATTCTAGACTTTGAATTGTGATTTGAGCTGAACCATGAATATCTGAATATATCTGGATTTAAATATCTCAATTTTATCTCTTAAACTCTGTTTTTTTATCATGAACTATCATGAATTAAGTTGAGATCTCCTCCAGCTATTCAGTTGCTTCTGCTATTTTCAATGAATATAAATGTATGTGTATGTGATTAATATGGATTTCAAATCATCACGAGTCAGTATAAGAATTACCCAACGAATATATAAATATCTGTTACTCAGTAGGATGGCGACCTCTGCTGACCTTGAAGTGCAAAGACTGAAATACTCTTCTTCTCCCCATTTAGACCAAAGCACAGCATCCTCAGTCTTTGAATGAATATCTTACAGAACAATACAATTAGCATTTTTCCCTTTACAGAATAGAACATCTTTTTTTGGTCATATCTCTTAGAACCCTTGTATTAACAGAAATAAGAGACTGATCGTTCTTTAACTGAATCATGGCATACAAACAAAAATGAAGGATAGGAGCCTCGGAACACTTTTGTGGATATATGTTGAATGTACCTTTCGACTGGACTCCAAACAGATATTGAAATATCTTTTGCTTTATCTTTGTATTATTATTTGTTTTATCTTCTTTGCACTTTTTTGCAATTTGCCATTTTTTGGTTTTCTGTTTACTTCTGTAATCTTGCTCTGTACTGGTAACTGTGATGAATTTTGCTGTAATTGCTCGATCTGTTTTTCTTGGAAAAGATGTTGCTTGTAAGATATGTACAGTATATACACAATAAAGAAAGGAAGACAAAAAACGTCACAAGGACTGCAGCAGATGATGAAAGTCGGGTGAAGGTTTCAGGTAAGACTATAGCTCCTGTCTTTTAATGCATTTGTGTAAAGAATGTAAAAGTTTGGGTTTAATGATGGAGATTGTTTGCTAAAAACAATCAGAACTGAACTCAACTTACACAGTTGCTTGTTTATAAACTACATTGCTTCTGTTTTGAATACATTACATTGAATACATTTACTACGTGGTAAATCTAAAACCAAAAACAGCAGAGAAACTAAAATACCATTTAAAAGTAATGGGCAAACAAAAGGATTAAAGAAACACAAGTAATAGCAGTGTAGCTGCCTACGACTGTCAATACAAGTGCATAATGCACAGTGTGTATCTGCTTACAGTCACAAACATTTAAAGTTGCTTCCCACAAATGGACTGTGATTGTTATTTACATTTCCTGACATCTGATTTTGGATTTCACCACACGCTGAATAAGTTCTAACTCTACACGTTTTGCCCTAAACAGATCTTGTCTATGTTTATTAGCAGCAGTGTTTTTATTCCCAATAACAAATTATAATGCTCATAATCGTAATAGTTTAGACTCTTGTTGCATTTATCGTCAGTCTCAATAAAGTTTTTAATGATTCATAATTATTCCTTTTGCCAACATTACAGCATCAGCCACCCAAAAGTACCACTGCAGCATTTCCCTGGCTCAAAATGGCGTCGTTCCCACGAGCACCAGACATTGAACCACAATCCCCGCTCACAGCAGCCTGACAGCAGCCACGGGCCTTCATGGCGATCTTCTCCAATAACGTAGGCCAGGACCCTGCACTATGACTTCTATTAGTAATATTAATAAACTTAACAAACAAGAGCCATGAAGGAACGAGGTTATTAAATCCAAAAAGAGTTGGAGATCCCGGCCAAAATGAACAAAAGATGAGGAAGACGCTGGGCCAGCCACGCAGTTGTAAGTGCACTCATCTAAAAATAAACAAAAATCTAAATCAAATCCCAAAAAACTGGATTACTGGAGATCTCAAACTTAAACTAAAATTACTTGTGCTGTGGCTTGAGTCAGAGCGTCTCTGCTCCTCCAGCTTCTTATCTCCATCTCTGATTGCAAACGAGCACCAGGTTCTGCAGCACCTGAGGAGGGGACAGGAGGAGGAAAGAGAGCAAGTCCACGATAAGGAAGCTATGAGCTGTGCGACAGAAGAGTGGTCCAGAAAAACCACAAGTCCTTGGACAACCTGTTTGAGATTCTCAACAAAGAGAAGAGGCCGATCCCAACCTCTGTGGCAGGTGTCATCAAGGATCACCTGCGGAAACCTGAATATGCAGCTCCAGGAAAATTACCCTGCACTTATCGAGCAGCATGGCTGGATCCAGAATGCATGACGAGGATGATGTCGCAGGCCTCAGTTCCAGGGAGCAGGACAAGACTTGTGGATTTATCTTGTGATACTGCTTTGAAGCGGATCTTCTCACAGAAGCATGTGACACATGCGTGTAGGATGCATTTGTGGCTTTAAAGACGAAGTACAGGAACAGACTGGATGTTGGGCCTGATCTCCGCCTGAAGTTGACGTCCATTCAGCCAGACATTCAACCCTCTTGTCAGGTGAGTAAAAGTTACACAGTGTATCTTACCTCAGTGTGTTTTAATATCCAGTATATCGAGATAAACAGCTTGAGGTCTCAGACTGGAGTAAATTAAAGGGATGGTTCTCCCAAAAATGAAAATGCATTCATTATCTACTCACCACTATACAAATTTACCTACCTAATGCTTTTTACCCCTGAAACCCATGAAAACTGTGTGGACTCTATACCCACCCCGGGTATAGAGTCCACACAGTTTACATGGGTTTCAGGGGTAAAAAGCATTAGGTAGGTAAATCATGAGCGATTCTTCAATTCTAACCTACTCCAATGCTGTTTACCCCTGAGATTCCAAAAGTGCTTTGTGCACTTAAACACGTCACCCACCTCTCCATTGGCATAGTGGTGAGAAGATAATGAGTGCATTTTCATTTTTGGGTGAACTATCCCTTTAATTTCAGTTTATGGACTTGTGGGAGGGCAAATAAATATTTGGTTATGCCGCAAATGTGTTTTTCTTCTTCCTGATATTGTCCTCCAACACTATTTGCACTAAATGCTTTAAAACTTGTTGCTTTGCAAATGGTGATGTTTAAATGTGGATGGATTATTACGGACAATTTGAGGACTTTGAGTGCTTTGTTTTATCCCATTGCATGTGGCTCACAGGGAATGGCTGCAGTACACAATGTGGACACTTTATGATTCAATATGCAGTAATCTCATCCCAAACCATGGTAACTGTACTCTAGTCATTTAAGCTTGAACCTCTCCATCCTATGAGTACACCTTCATCCTCATCTTCTCTCTTCTGGGCTTCTGCAAACCAGAAACAACGGTGACTAAGGGAAAAAGAAGATAGAAAGCGAAGCAGCTTCACTTCAGCTTAATTGTTTTACTTAGCAGGATTGGGGATGTGTGTACCGATGTTGTTTTCAACCATTCCACTGTAATTATTTGTGCGAGGACTGCTTTGGCAGCAAATTTGATTTACTGTGTCCCAATATAAGTTCAAGCACAGACTGTGTTGTAGAAAGTACACCAATATTAAAGGTCCAGTTATTTATGATTCATCGTCTTTAAAAAGTTGACATATATGATATAACAACCATATCGGGCCAATTGACCTCTGAAACACAAATACAAAATATGTTTCAGTAAAAATAAGAATCCTCTGCTTAAAAATGTAACCTTTAATTATCTCCCACTCCAGATCTATGAACCGTTATCATTCTGGAACTTGATTCATTTTGATTTTAGTTTGCATGAAACTAGAAAATAGTGCCTTTGTTTAGCCTCGTTTTGGTTATTTGCTTTTGTGGGTTTCACTCAACAAAGAGGGAAGTTTGCATCTCATTTCTACGGCTTGACGTTTCCACCTTGATGCAGGAAGTTCTTTAACTTGTCCAAACTTCACAAAACCAGATCCAGCTGAAATTTGGTCCAAAGACCCTCAAGAGTGTGATGAACAGATTCAGATGTTCAATACAAAAAATAAGAAACTCCAAGAAGTATTTATTTATGAATTTAATTCTGTCAAGTCTAAAAAAACAACTTCTACAGGACTTCAATCATATCATGATTATATTATGAGCTATTTTGTGCAGAAACATTATTTTATGATATAACTCTACAGTGATCCCAGTGACAGAGTTAAACAGGAAGGGGGTGTGCTTGGTAGAGCACCAGTAAGGGTTCACTCAGGGACCCTCTATTCAGACAGTACAGACTCTGTGTCAGGGCTTCGTGAAGGACCAGACTCCCACTCTCGTCTGTGTAACGCAGCTGAAAACCCACTGCCTCCACTGGCTTCACTGTCAGGACAGCTGACACATCAAACACATCAAATCCGGACGAGGGTCGCTGATCCAGGGTCAGTAGCCTCTCCCCCAGAGCGGGACTCTCCTGCAGGGCTCCCTGCAAAGCGGTGACACCGTGCAGGGTGACAGTCACGCTGACGGGACGGGGGTGGAGGGTTTTTCGGAACAGAACCAGTTCTGCCCCCAGCATGGAGGGGCTCAGACTGCTGACGTTGAACCAGATCCAACCTGGGGGAGCCTCAGCTGGACCTGAGTGAGAATGAAATAAAAAAATTAAAAAAAGAGGAAAGATAAAGTTACAGCTGATACAAAATCACAGATTCATTCCACCAGTTGTAGAAATGAATATCAGTTTACTTGTCATGAGGAGTATTGGTTAGCCTTTAAAACAGTTGCACATGTTCTGTGGCTTCTGCTCTGTTACTACTGTGTTGACAGGTTTTTCCAGTGTTACGTAATAAAGTAACATTCGCGTCTTTTACACTTTACGACAAACTAGAGCACCATCGACAACGTGTAAAATAAACTAGTGTGCATATAACCAGAGTGTCTAGAATGAGTGCACTGTTTGTTTCCATGTTTGCAAGTGCAGGTTGGATCTTGCAAACAGGACATGCATCATTAGATAGGTTTCATAGTAGTAATATGTCAAATGTATTTAGTTTGTTTAATTTTAGTCAATTTGATCAACTTACTAAAATGTTAAGTCCTTACCAAGAACACTCCGAAAGCTCTGTACCAGCATTCCATCTGATCTCCCGAAGTCTTGAGCCTCCAGCGAGTCCAGATGCTGATAGACCCTCCTCATGTAGGGATGTGGTTTGGCCTGATGGCTCGCAGACACTTTATTGATGTGTAGCATTTCCAAAATGGCTTTGTTGAGCTCCCTGTCATCCTCTGCGTCTCTGCGGAAACCCGCCAGCATCAAGCCTGTGGCCGGGCACAGCAGGACGAAGACCAGTGTCACATGACGAAATCCCAGACCGACCTCTCGAACCATCCTGAACGTATTTTATGTGTTTCCAACCAATCTGATATGATCCTGTATCTGTGCCTGTTCTCCTGTCAGAGTGCGGCGGAGGTTTCCAGCGTGTGGTCCAACAGTCTGTACGCTAATAGCTATGCAGGAACCACAGGGGCTGTCAGGTCTTAGTGAAGCAGTCCCATTCTGAAGCTGAGGAATGTTGCTTCCTTTTCACAAACACTCGGCCATGGACTCTAATGAGCCACAGTCCTGCACAGCTCTGAACAGACACTCTGACTTTAGTACAACGTTTGACACAAGACATGAAACAACACATGTATTGGAGTGGAATCTTGGGTATAAAGAATTAGTGGCAATGTCGGTTAAGTTATGAAAAAGAAAAGGTACCATAATAAGAAAACTAGACTGTCATTCAATAGCACTCATACCTCCACCACGGCCCAACAGTCTCCTTATGAAACCACATTGAAATTCACTAGATCTGTATTTTTTTATTTGGACCTGCACCAAATTACACACACACATAAATATCAGTCCCCTGAACATGTCTGATTTTTTTTTTTTATTTATTTCGCAATAAGTTTGGTCTAGATTTTGGATCCAGAAGGAATGGAACTCCGTCAAAGTTATTCTCAACTTTCTTCTCTTAAAAGTGCAACTTTATTCATGTAATATTCCAACTTTATTCTTGAAATCTCAGAATGTGTTATTTTCTCGGCCTAACGTTAACCTTTCTTTGAAGGTCATTACGACCCAAATGACATCTAGAGCTATTTGCTCATAAAAATCATTCTCTCGCATGAAAGTATATGTGGTATACATTCAAATGTGTTTCCTATGGAGCTCCATTAGGTTTAATGTTGAGAATATGTTTTCTTAGGATTACTTTTGCATTCATTCGCAATATCTTGTGAGAATATGTGCGGCAATGGGCAACATGTTACAGTGTGGATACCTGGCTGGGCTCCATAGGGACTCCAAAGGCCGGGCCGGGTTTTAAAAACATTTTGAAGTGATGTTCAGGTCAGGTTGGTCTTGTTGGCTGGGTGTGTTTTTCAAACTGCACATGTCATCGGGTAGAACAACCAATAACTATGTGTGTGCAGAACAGAATAACCCAAACTCAATGCAACCTACTTTAACTACGTCGAGTTGGAAGAGTTTCATGGAGACTCATGCATGTTTTTTAAAAATGTTTGGTCGTACAAAAAACTAGGACTACAGAAGACTAGGTGGCTAATGCAAACAAGCAACATTCAAATCAACCCACGGACACAAAAAAGAGAATAGCTGTCGGGTTTGGGTAAAGCCCGGTTTGTTTTCTTTTTGGCCTCGGTTGAGTTCACCTGAAAAATAGAGCCTGAGTTGCACTTGCAAGGTAACGCAAAAGTATTGCGAGATAACGCAATATGCATTGTGAGGTATCACAAGAGAATGCAAGCGCAATCTCTAAAAATGTTCCCTTCTTCTATTTCAATAATAGTTACTTATTTTCCAAACTGTAATAAATTTAGCAATGAAATAAGTTGATGAATAAGCAGAAGGGTCAGAGTGTTTTCCAACAAAATGCTGGTGTCACTGAAACTGTCCATTAACCCTCTGACTCCAGTGTTGTACTGCATGTTGAGAAATTACTAGAGATCACTTCTTTTCTGCGCAGACGTTTATACTTACATGATTTCCACCGTATGTCCACATCACTGTAAGTTGTATTCCATTCCACACAGTCAGTGTATGACACCTCCACTTTGTAATTGGCAAGGTCATAAATCAGAGGTTGTGAAGCAGAGCCCTGTAGTGCATCACTCATTATAAGTACTATACCTCCATCACATGGACAGTTTACATTATAGTGGACTGCTGCTTAACAAAGGCCTGAAGATATAGGACAAATACGACACAAAGGCAAACAGCACTATGTCCTTTATATGAAGCACTGTTACTTTTCGTTCTTCTGGTCCAAGTCTGTTTTTCACAAATGCACGAGTCCTATTCACACTGGATGTCCTGCTTTTTGTATTAGTTTCATAGGGTGCGAAATAACAAAATGTCCATTTTCCCTGCCTCGGTCTTTTCCTTACATCACTGCACTGCTAAGCCTTTTATCTCTTCCACTTTTGTACAATAATGACAAACCACTGAGGCACTTTGGACAAGACTTTGATCTCAGAGCCTGGTTGTTTGTCTTTGGGTTTTTCCGCTCCGATTACTGATCCCACCGCAGCTACAAGAGGAGGAAGGCGTCGCCAGTCAGTCAGTTCTTCCTTCCCCTCAGCCCTCCCTCTCTTTCGCCCTTCTACTCATCTCACTCTCTTTAGAGGTGGAGTTTGTCACTGAGGAGTGTTCTGCAGTCTGTCAGTGAGCGTCTTGCTGTCGAAAGCAGAGCGAGGAGAAGAAGAAGTGCCAGATGTCTGCAGATCAGGTAAGGGCATGTTTAAATGTATGTGGGGATCTCTGCTGGGGAGCTTTGTTCTGCAGGAGCATAATGTGTGACTGCATTTTTCTTCCTTCTAAATATTTGTCTTTAAATCAGGATTCCCTTAAACTGATGGCTGTGTGAGCTAAGTCGCCTGCATGTGTCACATTTTGCAAACAAAGCCAGATTTACAGTGAATTAAAAATCTGGCATCCAGTTTACCTGGTATCATCAGTGATGGTTTATTTACGACTAAAGGAATTTACAAACTGGAGAACATGCGGTGCTGTCTGGAACACTCCAGGAACGTGCAAAACTGCACTCTCACCCATTTATCACACACTCAGCTCTCACCTCCAACAGTTAGGGAAATTTTTTTTTTTTTTACCTTTTTAAGACTCTCAAATCAAACATACTTTTTTGTCCCATGGAGAAATTTGTCTTGGGCCAAAGTGCTTCAGCAGCTGCAGAACAGTACATCATACAACAAACAACAACTCGTAAGACCCAGAATATTAATTAATTAATATTAATGCAGAATAAAAGTGAGTTAAATATTGCACCTGCCCTGAAAACACTTAAAATGATAAAACACTAAAAGAATAGAACAAGATGAAAAACAAAAACTGGCATTAGATTGTAAAATGTGCCAGATAAAGTCCAGAGGTTTTTGAGATGCGTCAACACGTCTCCTTCTTGAGTAGTGTGATGGATGTAGGGATGAATGAGAGCTAAAGGCGGTTGGATTTACACTTACAGGCTCTGCACACTCTGTTGCACACTCTCTGGACTGGGCCACTGGACAGCGGCCAAAATGTTTTCAGCAGAATGCCTCCTTATTCCCCGATGGCTTGTTTTTCCTTGAAAATTGCTGGCTGCTCAGGACCCTGTCATTATTAAGATTAGAAGAAGAAGCTGCTGCTGTGAATGAATGTGCGAGGCATTCCCAGCTGTGGGGCCACGCCGCTTGTTACATGACACATCGCATCCCCTCACAGCTGTGTGTTTTGTGGCTAGTTGGTGGTTTGGTCGAGGCAGCGCGTAAATCAGCTGGGTTATGGAAGGATGATTTATTGTGAGCGTGGAATTACGAGACGCTGTGTGACCTCAATGAGCTTTTATTATTGGTATATGCTCATCATCTTTTTATCGGGGATAGTGGGCTAAACCAGTGCGCAGACAGGAAGCACAAGTTCTGTTTTTACTCGCATCCAAACTGTACGATATCCAAATGAATTCTGACATTGAATTCCATTCCCTAATATTGCACATTTCCCCCCTAATGTTTCATCCATGGATCTTGGAGAGTGATCCTCTCTCACAGTTGATGGTCGGTCTAAAATCGGACTCACTTCACAACACTTTTTTGGGTTATGTAGGTTCCGTAGTGACTTGGTTCTGTACTTTTATAAACCTTTAGGTCTTTCATGACTCGTTTCCACATGGTTTTGTTTTATGTTCGTAATTTTATTTAATATTTGCAATATTCCTTTTGGTGTTCAATGTGAGGGAATATAGTTGCCCAAGCTAGCCCCAGGTAGTCCGGCTGTAACCAGAAAAGTCCTGTCGCATGACTGAAATCAAACTGTTTTGGAATCAAAGGCTATATAAATGTATTTACACCCTGTGTAATAAGCTGTTTTAAAATCTGTGGCATGCCCCTTTAAGGGGTCATGGCTGGGGGTAGAGGGTATGAATGAGCTGGAGAGAGTGGTTCCATTCCATCCAACACTGATGTTTGTTTAGGTTTGGATTAGGGAGTCCATGTACCACAAGCTTATGGGAATGTAAATCTAGTCTGTCATTAGACCTGCTGGCTTTGACACTCAGCAGATGCCGAGCCCCGTCCTCAATGACATGTCAGTAGAGAAAACACTTTTGTCCAGACATGTGGGCTTCATTCAAAATAATTGTGGTTGGTGGTGTTTGCTTGTCTACCCAGAATCTAACCCACAGCACACATTACGTCCCTGCATGTGTCTTGTCGGCATAATATTGTGAAGCGACTGTAACATGAAGCTCAGCCAAAACAGGAAAAGGATCAACTGCAAACAGGGACGGGACCCTCAGAGCTTAACATTAGGACCTTTCCCAGCACTCCCACCTCCCATGTGCAGCCTCCCCACTGGGTCTCACATCAGTCAGAGGGCGATGCAAATCTTTAATAGCACTGATTACCGAAGCCTTTGTGCTGTTTTCGCTGACAGTAAATATCAGTGTCACGCAGTGTGACACAATGCTGGATGGGACGCTATCTGCTAAAATGTGATCTACTCTCAGCTCTGGCATGCGGTTGGACTTTGCTCTACATCTCGATTCTCACAAAGCTGAGTGGAAAATAGCACGTGTGCCCTCATGAAGAATAAGAGAGTATTTTAAAGAATATTTTCCTTGATCTCATAGACTGACTACAACCTGTGTAGTTCACATATTTCCGATCACAGTTTTTTTTAAAGCTGCACTTATCTCTAATTTAGATAACAAACATGAAAATGTGAAAGAGACGATTCATGTTAAAAACACCCACAGAGAATTATCTATAGCTCCATGGCTTGTGGTGTCTTTTAGCTCATTGTTCTCGTTTGTGAGTCCCACATTTTTTTTTTCCTACTCTTCAGTCTCACAGTTCTCTTCAAACTCACTTCCCTCACCTATTGACAGTTGTTTTCAGTTGAATCTGATCGACCCACAATACTCTGCCTGCTCAGCACCACAAGCTAAATATAATGTATATTGGCTGAGAACAAAACGGAGAAAATGGAGAGTTTTTTCGAGCCGAAAGTCCAGACCAGTGAGTTTTATTTTCACAATATTGCAGGTACACTAAAGAACTTAAGGCTCTTTGCACCTGGAACTGACGGGCGGTGTGTCTTTATTGTTAATTCAGCAGAAATTGACAGATTTATTTTCTTGCCCCTTTACAAATGTAATGGTTTTGGATTGTTTGTCAAATATTTAGTCTCATCCTCTCCCCACGTGCAACTCTGTTTCATTGTTACATCCCTTGTGATTATTCTGATTCTATTGTTTTCGTGGGAGACGATCCCGCCTCTGTGACTGAGATATTTTGTCACGAAGCAAATGAACCTAACCATGGATCAGTTTGATCCAATTCTTTTGATCGTTCCTAATTCTCAGTTCTGAACCATAGTCCAAGGAACCATTCACACCTGCACATTTTTAGTTCAGGACCAAAGTAAAAAGTCGGCAGGTCCAGACTGAACAAGGCAGGTGTACACACAATCACAGTTATCTGGGAATATGCAACTAACCTGACAGCCTCAACAACCCAATTCATTTTTAATCTGTCGCCCACAATTTCAGTTTTTCATGGACTATGACCTTCAGCAGTCTTCTCTCCAGCTCGACCACCACAGATTATACAGTGCAAATACTACAAGTGATCTTAAAACGTGAAAATGACCTAATTTCGATTTTTGTTCAGACACACTGGAGCAGCACATTGCCAGCACTCCTGATGGAGTCTGCAGGTGTAGCTGGAGGGGGACTGTGACTATTTGGAATCCTGTTTTTACACCCAGGTCCTTGAACATGATCTTTCAACACAAGCATTGTTCATGGAGGCAAGCTGCAACATGCCCCCCCCATGCAGCGGCTGATTATAAGGTGCTTTTCTGTTCAAGGTGCTTTCAGTGTGAGGTCTGAGGGTAGGTGTCCTAGACAAGTGTTGAAGGAATGTGGCAGGATGACATCTGAGGCCTGTTTTAAAAATACAAAACAGAACCACCACACATCCTCGGTGGGATCTCAGGGGAGAGAGGATGACATTTTATTGATCCCTGCAGAACGAGGAGTAATTAGTTCTTTGAGCCAAGCGGGAAGCAGAAAACTGAATTGCAAACAACTTGGTAGGGAAGTAAAGAAGATTGGGGCATTGTTATTGTTGTTGTTCAGAAATGTAAGGTGCCCCTAGGTTATTTTAAAGAATGTTTAAAAGATCTTTTTATAGGAGGTTTGTCCCCCACTGCTCTTAATAATCACTATAAGACCTGTCGTCTGTGGCTGCAGAATCCATGTTGGGGCTGACCTTACGTTCTAAGGGTCACTAGAAAAAAATGATTGTCGTTACTCAAAGGAAAGACCAGGATTTGTTCATAAGGCACATATTTCCTGACAAGCTGTTGAACAAGTCAGAAAGTTTATAAGAGATCTGGAACATGCCTGGAGCTGGTTAAAACAAAAATAGTCATGTAATTACAAAACCCATAGTTAGCATAAACCAGCAGTGCTCTATTCCTGAACTTATTTTCTTAATAGTCTTGTTAAATCATATCATTTCCTGTGGTGCTGTTTTAATTATTATTATTATTTGGTAATATGATAGATCATTTATTTATGGACGTTGTTTTGGGACTCATTTCGTTCTGATATAAATCTGAGGCCTGTGTGTTTCAAGTAAAGTTGGGACATGGTTAGCCTAATGTAGCATGAAGACAGCAGGGGGAAACAGCCTGTCTGGCTCTGTCTAAAGTTAAAGGTCCAGTGTGTAAGATTTAGGTGAAAGGAATCTATTGGCAAATTGAATTAGATTGAGTATAAGATAATTCTAGTGATGTTTTTACACCAGCGTGTAATCATCTAAATAGAATGGTGTCTTTAAATTTAAATTTAAAACTGGGGTGTACCACAGGTTCTCTTGGTGAGCTGAGGGGTATTCAGCTGCAACATGCAACTTCACCACTAGATGTCACTAAGTTCTACACTCTGAACCTTTAATGTGGCCAATACAATTAATATATGCAGCTATATTTGTTTACTTGGTTCAGTTCCTCTTTATACTTTTTATTGAGTCACACAAACCAATGAGCGACAGTAGTAAAATGTACTATATAAATAACATGCAATTGACTGAAACCTTTTCATTCCCTTACAGCTCCTGTATGTGGAAAGGTGAAAAAAGCAGAATCATCATTCAACCAGAGGAAAATGCAGCTTCTTCTCAAGAGGAATAACTCACTTAAGTCGTCCATCAAACAGTTTCTGCAAGCGATCCTGCTTTTGTCTGCAGCCGGTCTTTGAGGATCCTGCAGTGACTGACAGTGATGGCTTCACAGGGTGAAATACAGGCCTGGACGCTGCTTGCAGTGCTTCTGCTGGGAATGACCTGCTCTTTGCACGGCTCCCTCGTGAAAGTCAACAAGGGGCTTAAGGTGAAACGGGGTCAGTCGGCCTACCTTGATGAGGGCGACCTGCAGTTCCATATTCCTCGTCAGAAGGATGCGTGCAAGGTGGAGGTGGTGTTAAATGAGCCCATAACTCAGCGAGTGGGAGAGCTCATGCCTCAGGTAATGGAAAATCCTCTTCCAGTTAAAACCCCCTGTATGTTCCAGGCAATTTACCTCGTGTTGTAAAACAAGCTTGTGTAGTTTGCAGCCATGCATGCATTACACTTCCACAGCACAGTTTGACAGCTAACATGTAGCTAACCATGTTATATATTATTAGTGTTGTAATGATGACAAGGTCTCAGTCCATCAACATTCTCATGGATCAACCATTGTTTTATTTTCATTACTCGCCATTACAACCGATTTGTCAGCATATTAAAAACATTGCACAAGGATGCTGCTTATTTATAGTTAAGTTATTTAAGTTAAGTTATTTATATGTTATAGAAAAAATACTATTGCATGCTCCCCTTTGGCACCCCATATCCCATGATTCTTCACTCTTAAGGGATCCAATTTACGTCATTCATGAATACACTATATCTGTTCCTGTACAATTCCTTTGAATAGCTTGTTTTTCCTTTCTCAACTCATATTTGTTTAATTTGTATGTAGCCTTAGCCATCTTGTCATTTGTAGTTTATCTTTACTTTAACTGAATAGATGAATTAAATATACAAGCAACAGAATTACTTCCAGAGTAGAAATCTTGCTGGTAACTGATCTACGCGTGCCTTGAGTAAATTTCAATTCTGTAAGGAAGCTAAAAACAAAAGCACCAGAAACTGTGGAGGATTCAAATTACTTTAGCGTGATACTTTTATGTGTACAACATTTGTTTTTCACTATGTATCATTGAAAGCTGTATTTATAAACATGAAAATATATTTGGGTATTTGCATACAGCTAGTTTGCTTAGTCAGAATTTGTGATGATGCAAATATAATTTCTGCCGATGTTATGTCCTGTGTATAATTAGGATGGGACTACTTGGATCAAGGTTAGAGCAAGCATTAAAAAAGTTAGCATGATCCCTATTTGCTTAAAATTAGCATTGACCTTTTCTATATTAAACAACATCATATAACTGTATTTTCATGTTTTGAGCATCCTGGTGTTCTGTGAGGAAGAGATATATTTTGGGGGAAGAGCATGTGAAGGGACCTTTCAAGACAGAAGGGCCGTCTCCTCTCTAATGACCAATGCTGACAGATACAATCATCTGATGAGTTTAGAATTTTTTTAATACAAAAGTTTCGGTTTAAAGCATTCACTTAATTTAGGTTTAGTTACCAAGCTTGGTTACATAAGATTTGTTGATGATAAAGATATTTGTATACGCTGTTTTTGTACTGACTAAAAGACCAGGTTACACTAGCAATTAATTGCATTTATTTATGTGTATATAACTAATAGTTTATCCATAGCTTTTACGTTTTCTTCTAAATCTGGTCTTAAAGGAGAAGTTTGTTTTTTTCAACCTGGTCCTTATTTCCAGCATATGGTATGTAGATCTACTCACCCATAAAGGTTTGGAGTAACTTGGAGTCCTTCGGACGCTTTTCGATCCACACACGATCGGCGTCTATCAATACAACGCAAGTGACTGGGGCATCCACAATACAGCCTCTAAATAACACATTATCTGCCGCGAAACTCGAATCGCGAAATGAATCGCCAGCACTAGTCCCCTGTGAGTCCAAGTTGCTTTGTTTACATCCCGAGCACCAGGACACAGCTGCTTTAAAAGAATACTGTACTGTAAAAGCACCTGATAAGTATTCTGCCATGTTGTGCAAAACTAGCAGCAGCAAACTCCGTGTAAACAAACACAGCTGATCGTCATGTGCACTGCGGCTGCGTGCCTCGGTGACGTCACCCCAGTGAAACCACGGATGTAAACAAAGCAACTTGGACTCACAGGGGACTAGTGCTGGCGATTCATAGTAAATAAAGAGTTTCGCGGCAGATAATGCGTTATTTAGAGGCTGTATTGTGGATGCCCCAATCACTTGCGTTGTATGGATATACGCAGATCGCGTGTGGATCGAAAAGCATCTGAAGGACTCCAAGTTACTCCAAACCTTTATGGGTGAGTAGATCTACATACCATATGCTGGAGATAAGGACCAGGTTGAAAGAAAACGAACTCCTCCTTTAAGTCTGTTACCATGCGGTTTCTTCATAGTGAGACACATGTTACAGAGGTCGGTAAGTACGTTTTAATGTGGATGAACATATCATGCAGGTGTTAAGATCAGGATTCTTTATTTTCTATTTTTATTCATACGACCACTAGCTTATAATGAATCAAGTTAGCTGATGTTAGCAAACTTTAGTTCGAGAATGCTTTTTTACTATATCACTTTTTATATTGGATCATTCATATTTGTCCTTTCCTTTCTTCAGGTTTTTTATTGCCATTATCTGGCTGATGAGGTGAAGTATGTCCACAACGGATGTCCATTGTTAAAAGAGGACACTGTCAAGCTTCGACTGTACAGGTACGAAACCTGATGTTATTCAACTAGAGACACCAGCCGTGACACCTGACAACATGTCGATATTCCAACCAATGGGTATTCATTACTACACACCTGTAAACACACACACACACCCAGGTAAAAAGCCATGTGATGTCACGGCTGGTAAATATTCTCTTTCGTTCTTCTTCTTCTTGTTCACCTTGTCTCTTTATGGCCAGATTCACAGAGACAGAGACACACATGGAGGTGTTTACCCTTCATGTGGACATTGTAGACCCTGAATGCAGCATTATAAGGCTTGGGCCTAAATCCTTGGAGGTGCCTGAATTCTACAGCCTCTCTGATGCACTCGATGGCAATGCGCTGTCTTTCCACTATGAGCGGAGGTCTAGCCTGGAGTGTAGCATCCATCTGAGCAGCCATGACACCCACCTGCCAGCCCATGGCCAGCTGGTCACTGGGGAGCCAGAGAAAGCCACCAAGAGAGGAGACGAGCCAGAGAGCTTCATCCATTTACGTCAGCAACTAGGTAATCTGTGAAAATGCATGATGGGAAATCCCTAATTCCTAGTTTATGCATGAGTGAAAGGGAAAACATTCCACCAATACTAAACATTTTTATATTATACTGCCACCACAAGCTACTTCTTTTAATATAAACATCTTCATTCAGTTGGTCTAGAATTTGTTTTTGTCTTTGTTTGATTATATTTAAATGATAAAACATTTTTCTATAGTTTCTATAAAGAGTGGCTATGGCTCAGGAGATAGAGCGGGTCGTCCACTTAGCAGAAGGTCCATGGTTCAATCCCTAGCACCTCAAACCTGCATGCTAAACTGTCCTCGGGAATATACTGAACCCCAAATTACCCCTGATGGCTGTCAGCATGTGTAATTGACACAACTGTACTCTAAAGCACTTGGAGTGCTCATCAACACTAGAACGACTTTATATAAATACAGCATACATATTTAAAGCTTTAATAGATTGATGTCTGACGTTATCTCTGTATGGTTTTATCATTATTCAGATAATAAAGCCAGAGCGACGTGTAAATCTGAGGACTGCCTAAAGGGTCTGAAGCTGGTTAAGATGACCAAGATTCCCTGTGATGACTTCCTGTTAATGGGACTTAAGTATCAGCACATAGACCCTCCTTCTCCAGATATAGATTATATCACAATTAGACTGGACCTCAAGGACTCCAGGAGTGGCGGCATATACAAGGTAATTTGGCTCCTCTACTGCCTGTGCCAGCTCGGCGATTTGAAATATGTAAAGTTTCAAGCTGGAAAACATACAAGGATCATTTGAATGTACTTTTAATGAGTACAAGTAGCTTTGGGATGAAAAATATATCGAATGACTGCACAGAGTATAACATTTCACATGTCAGTAAGTGTATTTGAATGCCTCATGAACAGATTTTCTTTGGTTATTGTTTTAGGTTATTTTTTTGGCATTACATAAATCTCATATGGTAAATGTGAGATAAAAACAGAATATATTTGGAAGTATAATGTTTTTCTTTACACTCTTTACACGGTGGAGTAGTCTGAACAGATCTGGATTCCAGTGCGGATAGTTGGTGCAATGCCCAATCAGCCTCCGAAGCCATCCTTCATGTCCATGTTCATCCTGGAAGTGGACCAGTTCGTCCTCACGCCGCTCTCCACTGCTACACTAGATGCTGAAGATGAGGAAACTGTCAAACAGCTCTTGGTTTTCAACATCACCAAACCCCCTGTGGACGGCTTCATCACTCATCTGTCCGATCACACCCGCCCAATCTCGTCCTTCACGTGGCTGGATCTCAATGACATGCTCATTGGGTATCAACCTCCGAACTCTTCTCATACTCAACGCAGGAATTACGAGGTAGCATTGCCCTTCCGAATACTATGTGCAGTTTATAAACAATCATTTAGGTGTAGCCAATAGCCTGAAAAGTTACTCATCACTGTCCCTACAGGTGGAATTTGAGGTGCATGATTTTTTCTTTGAGAAGAGCCCATCAATGACTGTTCACGTGTCTGTAAGGAATGCAGACACAAACGCACCCAGAGTTTCCTGGAACATGGGTACGTTGACATTGTCACATTGTTTTTGAAGTTTTAAATTCAAATTGCATTTGCACTAACAGTTAATGAGATGACTGTGTAATGCAAAACGAATAGTGATAAACCAGAGCCAGAGGAGAGCTAAAAGGAAAGTGAAGAGGGGGGCCCCCTTTGGGAACAGCCCAAAATGCTTATTGATGCTAATTTTCAGTATGTGTCTTGTTTGGCTGATTGAGCAATAACACATTCATAGGGCAATTGTTTTATTTTCGCTCTTGTTGGTCAAATTTAAAAATTTAAAAAACTCCAATACAGCTTTATGACTGCACCAGACAAGGCTTCTACATAAGAATCTATAGACTGAAGTAGCAAAAGTCTAAAAATGTAGTTACACAGAATTTATATCCATCTAAACAAAAGCTAAGTCAATTCTATCCTGGGCAGCAGAGAGTAAGTTCTCTGAACACAAACTATTCTCTCTCTCTGTTTTAGGTGTCCTTCCGAATTAGGTTTGACACATGTTGTATCCTATATTCCACTAAATGTTGTTGTCTATGAATATTTTTTGCATAGGTCTAAGCCTATTAGAGGGTCAGTCTCGTCCAATAACGTGGGAGCAGGTCCAGATTGTGGACAACGACAACCTGAAAGCTGTTCGTATCATCACCGTGGACGGTCTGCAGCACGGAAGGCTCACTGTTAGAGGTGCAACATCCCACCTCTCCACTTTCCCTTTTATTACCTTATTAATACTTATCGATCAGCTGATTTTTATTTTAAAATCATACAAGAAGAGTTGCAAACATTTATCCTTTCCATTCATTTGTTTTAAACAAGGCTTTGATTGTAATTGCAATACTGGAAGACGCACAGCTTCTTACTGTAGTTTCCTGGCATTTAGTTGAGTTTTGTACATAACCTGACTTTATTTGGCGAAATACAGTAGTTTTAACCAGCAGCTCCACAGCAGACACACTGCCAGTGTGAACAACAGACAACTGCGACACGCAGCAGAACCGTGGTGCAACGCGGCAAGTGTGGCCCGGTGTCTCGTGACCTAGTTTTTGTAAAGATTAAAGGGATAGTAAATTTAAATTCACTCATCTACTCCCCACTATGCCGATGGAGGGGTGGGTGAAAGTCTTTATGTCCACAAAAATCTTCTGGAGTCTCAGGGGTAAACAGTGTTGCAGCAAAATCCAATACAATTGAAGCCGTTGGTGTTCAGACTACAACAGAAAAAAATAACTCCATACTGCTCGTATGGTGTCATGCAAGCGTCTGCACGCCCCGACATTCATACTTGACTCAAAACAAGGTACTTTACACCATTTTTCAAGCCTAAAAGTCCACTGGAAGTGGCTACACTGGCAGACGTGGCCACATATGTGTGTTTCTGGTGTGCTCATGCATACGTGAACTTGCTGAGGAGGCTATCTGCCTTTTCGAATATGAATGTCGGGGCTTGCAGACGCTTGGGTGACACCACGCGAGCTGTGTGGAGGCTGCAACGCTGTTTAAACCCTGAGACTCCAGAAATGTTTTGTGGACTCAAACACTTCCCCTGCCCCTCCATCGGCATAGTGGTGAGTGGATAATGAGTGAATTTTCATTTTTCGGTGAACTATCCCTTGAATGTTCTCAGATATATGTACGTCCAGTAAGAATTTTTGGGAAATTCTGCTTTCATGATTGTCTGATATGAACTCCAGGTGGAAAAGGCTTCATGTTCACTGTGAACGATATCAGAGCAGGCGTGGTTCACTATCACCATGACGACAGTGACTCAACCAAAGACTTCATTATCTTCCGCATCACTGACGGCCGTCATCAGACTCGGCACAAATTCCCCATCAACATCCTGCCGAAGGATGACAGCCCTCCTTTCCTCATCACCAACATGCTGCTGGAGGTGTCTGAGGGCCAAACAGCTCTGCTCATGGGCTCCACCCTGCAGGCTTCAGACATGGACTCCAGTGACGACTACATCCTATTTAACATCACCCGCCCGCCGCAGGCAGGAGAGGTCATGAAAATCCCAGGGCCGGGGCTCACAGGTCAGGAGAATGTGTTTTTATTTTTTGTTGTGTTGTTGTCTCTTTAACAATATCATGTTATGTTTGTGTTGCTTTTAATTCAGGTTACCCTGTCAGCCACTTTCTGCAGAGGGACCTGTCACAGTCCTTGGTTTACTATCGAAACTTTGGAAACGAGGTGTTTGATGATTCTTTTGAGGTGGTGCTGTCTGATTTCCATGACCCCCCAAACCTGTCAGAGCCGCAGGTGGGTAACAGTATAACACTTGTATTGTTTGGTAACAACATGAGGAATGATGGCAGCATGGTGGTACGTTGATTAGCAACAAAAGGTTCTGGGTTCGATCCTGCCGGTGAAGAATTGGCACGTCAGCGTGAATGAATGGTTGTTTGCCTCTACGTAAGCCCTCCATCCCATCCCACCCCTTAAAGAATAAGCAGAATCACCAATGAACATGAGGAATCCTTCTTTAATTGTGTTGCATTAGAATGAACAAAACCTGTGTAGCATCAAAGCAGGATTAGATAACTTGCCTTTCAGTGCAGGCTGAAGAAAATTCAGTGTAGAATCGATTGAGATCAAATTTGTGTTGACAAGACTCACCCTTCATGGCAAAGACTGACCATATGAATATCTACATTCTACATCTACATGCTTTTACATTAAAGAAATCATCACCTGCGAATTATAGCTATTTTTACAATAAATTTCAAATAATCACAGTGTAAGAATTAGAATATCTGTTTATTATAACTTTGAATCAATAGTGCAGCTTAATTTGGGTTATTTTATTTGGTGACAGTTTCTTGAAAATGGATTCTGTTAAATTAGATGCAATGAATGGATGAATGTGCTGAATGTGCAGTCCCACTCTAGATACTGTACAATACCTACAGCTTTGGGTTTAAGTTACAGTTCAACAATTGATGGATGGATGCACAACTCTTGAGTCTTTCTTCATCTTGTGTAACGTTCTTTTTTCGATATCAACAATCTCCACCAGCATTAAAAACACACAAGCGCCTGAAACTTAGCAAATGCAGTTCCTGCCATCTCTATGGGGCATTTCTGTTTTTTTTAGTGTTTTATAAAACCCACGTTAACCAAGGTGGCTGCATGAGTCCGAAGCTACAATGAAACCTTTTCACACATATGTACAATTTCATTATAAGAGTGTACAGCCTTGCTAGCAGGTCTGTACAGATGGAAAGTCAGGGATCAACAAATGCATCCTCTGGGAACCAAATTTGTAGTATCCAAAACTGTTAGTGAATCATCTTCTTGGGACCAATAATGTTGCTGAGATACTCATCAAGTGACATGTCAGCTCTTGAGCCGCACTCCTTTCTTACTCATTGTCTACTACAGTGGAATTCTGTCACAGTTGAGTTGTACTGTGGTGTCTTCAGATGGTGCTGGTGCACATAGAAGCTGTTCCAGACCAACCACCTAAAGAGGTTCCTGGTTCCAGCCGGTGTCTCGTGATCAAAGAAACAGAAGTGGTCCATATAACACGACAACAGCTTCACTTTGTAGACCAGGAGTCCCCCGAAAGTGAGCTGACATACACAGTCACTACTCCACCTTTCCACACTGGTCCTCACAGGTTCGTATGCTCTGAAACAATCTATACACCAGACTGCAGAGGAGTATTCTGTCTGAACAATGTGCTCCTGGTTTGATCAGCACTCCTGATGCAGGGAGATTGTTCCTGGTGGACAGTATACCCAAATTCACCAAAGACTCCACTGCACCTGTTCTGAGGCTCTTCACACAGGTAACGCTTTGAGTTTTCAATACATTAAATGTACACTTGTTGACAGATTTATCAAAAACTCAGGGATTTATGTTTTATCTTGTTCCCAGCATGCAGTGAACTTCATGAAAGTAGCCTACATGCCTCCAATCATGGACATCGGCCCTTACCCCCAGCACATCCAGTTTGTTCTCTCTGTCACCAACCGTCTGGGTAAAACAGTCACTGGTATCTGCTTCAACATCACTGTGACACCAGAAGACAACCAGCCACCACAGGTGGAGGAGATAACTGTATCATACTTGTCTCACTCATTGCATGTTGGCATGTGGATGTGTAGAAAAAGAATCTATTTTGTTCCAGGTCATCACCAATGCTCTGACTGTGGATGAGGGCGGGGAGTGCTGGCTTGGCCCAGAACACTTGCTGCTCTCAGATATGGACTCTATGGAGGAAGCCCTGCGGGTGGCGCTGCAGAAGGAACCACAGCATGGAGCCCTGCAACTCGGCGGCCTCCTACTACAACCAGGCCAGGCATTCACTGTGCAAGACGTGAAAAGCTTTAAAGTTAGGTCAGAAATCCTGGTTTATTCATTTCTTCATGTTATTTGGGATTTAAAAGGTTGGATCATCCTAATAGAACAAACTACATTTCCCCCTTATTACCCTGTGGTATCCTTCATAAAAACTCAAGAGGTGTTTAGGTTATCTGGTTTTGACTACTTTAAAAAACATGGCGGCCTCCATAGAGGACCCACTCCTGATGTAAATATAGAGTATTTAAATATAAAGGACCCATTCTACGGTAAAGAAAACAACAATTTATATGAAAGACACTAGTGAGAACATCACAAGGATTATTTTTTATTCAATTTCTGCCTATAGATCCCTTTCACCTAAATCTTACACACTGGACCTTTAAAGAGACATTCTAAAGCTCATATTGATCAGAACATTACTCCCAATTACACAATAAGTGATACCATGAAAAACTCACATTTAAGTCAGATAATGACGTCATGGACAGTCCGAACATGCATTTTTCAGGTATCTCAGCATCCTATAGGCAGGACCTTAAGCTTACATGGTTCTAAAAATAATATATATGGCCACATGATAGGATGAGGCCATCATGATGTCTTGTCTAACAATGTCACTGTTGCTATAGGAATGGATTCATTGTTTTGAATTCTGACTGTTTCTTTCTGTTGTCAGAATGTCTGACTTGAATTTCTTTTGATGCGCAGTTACAATCATGACAACTCAGAGACTGTAGAGGACAACATTGAACTCTCTGCAACGGATGGAACCAATTCAGTCAGTTTCATCCTGGAAGTGAAGGTAATTGTTCTCATGTAAGGGGTTCCTTCAGAAAAGAGTGATCTAAATGGCTTCACACGCTCCTTTATGGTTTCACTAAATTGACTTGCGTGTGTTCTCCAGGTGAAGCCCATTAATGATGAGGTCCCGGTGTTGGTCGCTGGTTTGAAACCAGTTCTCAACTGCGCCGAGGGTCAGGACATCACCATCACAGCAGAGTACATCTTTGCTTCTGATGCAGACAGCGACAACAGCAGCCTGGCCTTCTTGATTGCGCGGCAGCCGTACCACGGCGTGGTGCTACGAAACGGTGTCGTGGTCGATCACTTCCTCCAGGCAGATATCATAGCAGGGATCATCACCTACAAACACACAGGTAGACTGCAGAGGTCGCACTAATGTCACCACTTTTTTAAGGGTCATCCACTTTAGACGACCCTTAAAAAAGTGTGTGTGTGTGTGTGTGTGTGTGTGTGTGTGTGTGTGTGTGTGTGTGTGTGTGTGTGTGTGTGTGNTGTGTGTGTGTGTGTGTGTGTGTGTGTGTGTGTGTGTGTGTGTGTGTGTGTATGGGGTGAAGTTAATGTTTTTGCATATTTGGGTCCGGCACTCTGCACCAGGAGTGATGGATAAATCTTGTGCCCATTTAATTGAGGGTATGGATAGGGATTTTTCAGACTGTGTTTTATTTTATATATTTTGTTTAGAGGTTTTTTTGCAGAGATGTTACTTAGCTCTGAATTTAGGGTTAGGACCTAGCACTTCTCTTTATGGTAGTTATTTTTACAATAGTAATACTTTTTTTTGGCATAAAGTGAATCTGATTATCCTAAAGACCTTCGAGACATCTTTGGATGTTTTGCTGACACCTGTCTCCTCAGTATATTGAAGCATGTCACTACTGCACTGAATCAAAAAAAAAAAGGCCATGTCAGGCAAGCTGCAGCGGTGAGGTCCAGGCCACAGACCATACAGTAGCTGACATTAGAAATTGACAATTAAAAAGTTGTGACCATCAGCCGGTTGGGCCTAGAATGTTAGAAACCCTCCCCTGATTGTTTTAGAAAGGTTGAAAGTTCAATCCAGACATATCTGTACTTCACATCTGTGGTCACATTCAGCAAGATCATTTTCATCTTTTAGAGCTGCCCAGGACATATATTGGAGAGAGGAACACTGTCTCTAAAAGTGCTCTGGTTGTTGTTTCAGGATTGGAGATTGGTCTCACTCCTCGCCATGACACCATCACATTTGTCATTTCGGATGGCGAAACAGAAAACTCTGCTCTGTGCTGCAAGGAAGGAAATCCCACCAGGACCAGAGGTACAGCACAGCACCGGGACAGCCTCCCTGTGTACGACCTCCAGATCACGGTGTTTCCAGTAAACAGCCAAGCACCTTCATTGGCAACAGGTGGGCCATTTGTTTCTCACTAAAATGATATACATGACTTGTACATGTAAAGAATAAAAAAAAAAAAGCCACATTATGCTGAAGAGAATGACACAGTAACACTGTTAAACCATTATCCCCTTTTATTTGGACCAATATGTTTAAGTACTCAGATAGGGATACTAATATGACATTTTAGAACTTTCCTATTTGTTCTTAGGAGACATCTTTCTGGTGGATGAAGGTGGAACTGCCCAGATAACTTCTTCCCATCTGAAGGCCTCTGACGTGGACACCGTCCTGGATGAACTGGTGGTCAGTCTGATTTCGCCACCCCAGTTTGGTTACATTGAAAATGTCCTTCCAAGTCCTGGCTTTGAGAAAAGTAACACTGGCATAAGCATAGGTAAGCATTAGAATATACCGTATAGTTGCATCACATGTATGCAACAAAGACTAACCTCAAGTGTTTTTCTGTTCCCAGCCTCGTTTTCATACAAAGACATCGTTGACGGTCACGTGAACTATGTACAGTCCAGACACCTGAGGATGGAGCCCACAGCCGACCAGTTCATGCTCTGTGTGTCGGATGGTAAACACAGCTCTGCGCATGTGCCCTTCTTCATTATCATCAATCCAACAAACGATGAGATCCCAGACTTTGTGGCTCGCAATATCACAGTAAGTTCTCGTAGTCAGTCTCACTTCGGATAATGATAACAAACAGGAGACATTCCAATATTGATTGATGTGCTTTTGTGATAAGGTCCGAGAAGGAGAAACGAAGCAGCTGGACCTGTCTGTGTTGCACGCAGCCGATCTGGACATCCCCAGGAACGTCCTGCTGTTCAGCATCATTAAAGCCCCTCAGCATGGCAGCATCATCAACCACAACAGTGAAAGGCCTGTCAGCAGGAGACGAGAGGCTAGTCCCCACTCACCTGTGGTCGACTTTACAATGACAGATCTGGCTAATGGTACTTTTTACATGTCTGTGTTGTAGTTTCATTTCACTTTGGAACTTTTGTACATCATTTGACCCTGTTACAGTTTGAAATTAGACCAGCTACACTGAGACAGAGTTGAGTCCTCTCCCAATTAACCCCCTTTGCCCGACCACTTGACCCTACCCCTTCGTTTTGCACGAGACCATGAAGGGGTACCATTGTCCCATTTCTATATGTGATGCAGGGGTAGTGAATATCTAGCTCTTCAAACACCCCTTCAACATAATGTATTCAGGATCCCCCTAATAACAGAGAGGTAGTAGTGCAAGTATGGAATCTTGCTAAATAACCATGAACATTTTTTTAAATCCAACGGAATATATCTTATTTTAATCAAGTAGCAAATGAAAATGTGATTGAATCACTATTCAGAATATAAACAGTCTGTGAGAGTAATTAGTAACGTTCGTTACACGTTTCCCACATATGAAGTTTGAAAAAAATGTCCATGTTTAATGTTTTCAATCTATGGACAGGACTATGTTACATTGAAATAACCGATGTAAACACACTCACTGTGTGTGTATCAATATCAAAATCTGTCTTGTCTGTCCTGCAGTATCAGATGTGTCCCTTTAATAACGTTGGTTGGCTGTTGGTAGAAGAAAATCTGCTGATCAATGGTCACCTCATCAATGAAGAAAGCGTTCAGGAGCCCTTGATGTCTTATGCTGAAATATTTATTGAAGCTTGGCCAAGGAGAAAATCAGAATTCATCCATACGACATCTGTGCATGATGCTCTCTCATATTCTGAAGTCTGCTTTCCTGCAGTCACACTTTAAACCCCAACAGATCATTTAATCTATGGGTGTGCTTGTTCCTATACAATCAAATGTATTTACTAGTTATGGAGACAGTAGTTCCTGCTTACGCAGTCTCATATCTGTGATGTCTAGGGAGTGAAGGCTTTGACCTTCACCAAGCTCTCGGACTTCCCAAACACAACAGCCTGTTGCACTCTGCCCCAGAGAGGACAAGAGACAGTGTCTATGAAAATTCCATAACAAGTGCTACCACTGCTTTCCTATGAGAAAGATGCTACAAGTTTCACACTGAAATCTATCAGTAGGACATTAGACATGGGGAGTGTTACTCAGCTGGTGCAAACAGTTGCTCATTGTCCTCTCACTGGAGAAGCTTTCTAGTCATCAGGGTAGATGGGGCTATACTATGAAGCTGGTTGTCAACTGCCTCAGTTAACTCTGGGTTTTCTTATACAGCTAAGGGCAACAGTGTCAGAACCATGAAAAAAGTTCTTGATATGATGTGTAAAGAAACGGTAGAGTTGGTAAAAGTGACAAACAATAGTGAAATTCAACGGTGAAACGTCAGTGATGATCACAAATGTGGAAAAGACAATAATCAGTATATATACCTTTTGATCTTTAAAGTCTAATGGTACAAAGAAAAAGAGGAACTTTATTGAGGTTATTATAGTATTTTTTCTTTTTGTCTGATAATAAGCAAACAATTATGAATATGCGTTGCAGAAAAAAAAGTTCATTATGAAAAAAATTATGTCAGACTGTATCTAATCCCAAAGTAGAGAGAAAAGAAGTAGCTGATGAGCTCAGTCCGACTGAAATGTTTATTTGTACTTGTGGAAATATTGAACAGTGTGTGGATCTTTTATATTAAAAGACATCAGAGGCTTTCATTTTTTATTTCTCTTAGTGATGTTCTAAACTGCAGTGATAGAATAAAAACTAAAAGCAGTCAGATCTGAGTGTTTACCTCGAATTCTATATGTTACAGATTCTTATCAGTATTGACACACTGATTAGTAAAACTGGTTTTCATCATGTAGACCCCTGTAGGACAATACAACCTCAGTATTACATCATTCAAAAAAGTTAAATCTGTCATCAATGTCTTACAGGTATGGATCTGATGTATATGCATGATGACTCCGAGAATATGGAGGACACTTTCACCATCCAGTTGACGGATGGCCGGCACCAGCTCCACAGACAAGTGATGGTTAAAGTGCTGCCAGTCAATGATGAGGAACCACGGACTATAAGGTTGGACTGAAATGTTCCGTTCCTATTCAAAGTCAGTCATCACGTCATTGGTTGTAGAAAATCAAAACAATAGTTGCCTCAATCTTGTGTCCATTAGGAACAATGGGCTGGAAGTGGAGCCAGGTGAGACAAGGCTCATATCCAGTGTAACACTGTTTGCACAGGATGGTGATAGTCCCTCTTCAGAGGTCATGTACATATTTGAGAGTGTTCCGACCCAAGGACTACTTCAACTTAAGGTTGGTTAAATGCCATTATGTTTTCAAAGCGATACACCAAGTTTTCTCATGTCAGTTTGATTGTACTGAGCGATGAGAATGTATAGAATCCTCCGTAAACATTTGGGTGACGATTCTTAATAGGTTTGACTAATAGGTTTGTTTTCACACACTTCATACATTTTAATTATAAAAACATACATTCTTCTTATGCCTCTGTGCTTGTGACAGCTAGTGACCAGAGGTATTATGTTTTCTGGTTGTCTCTCTTCCTGTCTCATTCTTGTAAACACAATATCTCAAGAATGCATTAAAGGTCCAGTGTGTGAGATTTAGGTGAAAGGGATCTATTGGCAGAAATTTAGTGTAGAATAGTCTTCATGATGTTTTCAATAGTTTGTTTCATCTAAATTGTACAAATTGTATTTTACTTTACCCTAAAAAAGGCCATTTATATTTAAATAATTTATATTTACATGGAGGGGGTCCTCTCTACGGAGGCCACCATGTTTTTTACATTAGTCCAGACTGGACAAACTAAACACCGTTTGAGTTTTTATGACAACTGAAGGCTACCACAGGTTCTTTTTCATGTTTGGGAGGAGAGGTAGAGGTGAGGGGTGTTCAGCTGTAACATGCAACTTCAACACTCGATATCACTAAATTCTACACACTGTACCTTTAAGTGAATTTCTTCACATTTTGACCAGTTGTCACTTGGACACGAAGATGAAGTCATGAGATATTTATGGTCAAAGGTCATTGTCCCTGGGACTTTACAAATCACATGTATGGTCTTGTGAACAAAACATTTCAGGCACATCTTGAGGGAATATTTTCAAATTTGTTCAAAAGTTCACTTTGACTCAAACATGAACTGATCTGAATTTGGTAGTCAAAGGTCAGGGCAAGATGACTTCATGTTCTTGTGAAAATGATATGTGATATATCAGGAACCCCCATAGGGAATATCATTTTTATTATGAGACATTCCCTTGGCCTCAATGATAACCTGATTACAATTTGGAGGTCAAAGGTCACAGTGACCTCACAAAAGACCTTTTTGGCCTTGTGACCATGTTATGTGAAGGTCAAAATCATGGTTACCTCACAACATGATTTTGTCCTCTTGAACATGATGTCTCAAGTCTTTGGGGAACTTATTCAAATGTTGACTAGTTGTCACTTTGACTCTGATTCCACCGACATCTAATCAGTTAATTTCAAACGGAAAAAATTGATTTAGAATGAAACTGCACTGGTTGATAGAGGCATAGAGCCTTGTGTCATAGAATAATTATAGTATACAACAAAAAGTTACAGGACAAAGTTCATGAGGTCATATCCGATGATGTGCTGCATGTCACCAATCAACTAAAAGATTGAATTTACTTCAGTCATCTTAGGTTAAACTGTGCTGCTTATTCTCTGAAGTCAACAGTAGGTGATACAGTATGTGTTTTATCTTTTGTCTGTGCACCCACTCTAATCTGGTAGTGTGGTAGATTCTTGTCAGAGTTGCTTTATTGCTGAATAGTGATGTATTTGAGTGCAAGGAATGTATTGAAGATTAAGCATTCCTCCCATGACATTAGAAAGTAGAAAATCCAGGTTGAACATGAATGAAGTGACCTTTTCAAACTGTGTGAAATCTGATTTGACATAGAAAAGTGCAGAAGACACTTACTTATAGCGAAAAATAGCACTGGTGTTCCTGTAAAGAAGAATTCCACTCTTCAGAGAACTCAGCCCTGATTCCCATGACATTGCTATGTGCTACTTTATCATGCAGTCATCTGCTAATGTAAACATCCTTTCTCAGGAGGGTCAGGACTGGATGACGCTGACAGCTGGAAGAAATTGCTCCCAGGAAATGGTGGACATGAACCTTCTGCGCTACGTGCACACAGGCCTGCACGGCACCACAACACAGGACTTCTTTGTCTTCCACTTGCTGGACGGAAAGAATCAATCACCACCACAGCACTTCCACATCTCTGTCAAAGATCTTGAGAAAGGTACAAGATGCCATTCTTCATTAGATTTGGGTTTGAATCAAGTTTCCCTTCCCAGTTTGAATTCATACTTATGTGGTCGTAATTTCAATGCAACCTAAACATCTTTCCACGACTTTCAGGAAACATCGCCATCTTTGCAAAACCAGTGAACGTCAGTCGTGGTGATCGCGTGGTTCTTACCACGGACGTGCTGTTGGCCACAGACGGCACAGAAAAGCCAGAGGAGCTTATATATGTCATCACCAACCCTCCTGTTCAGGGACACATAGAGTACATCAAGCATCCTGGACTGGCCATCTCCACCTTCAGCCAGATGGACATAGCAGCAAACCTCATAGCTTATGTGCACGACAATCGAGCAAACGCACACAGAGAAACCTTACAGTGAGTTTCGAAAATAAAACTTGGCATATTTGCATTTTACCAGTGCGTAGTATAAAAATGTATTGATCAATTATGATTTTCTTTCTTTCTAACCATAACACCATACCAGCTTGACTGTTTACTTAAAGAATAATAACACAAAGTATATAAGACAATTTTATTTTGACTATTTCAATATTTATTGAGATCTGTCGAAATAAAGGATTTATTTACACCCACACTGTTAAATGTTTTTGACAGGTTTGTTGTGAGTAATGGGAAGACCAGCCGAAATGGAAGCTTTGAGGTCACAGTGGAAATGGTGGATCGAGTTCTGCCATCGCTGTCCTCCAACAAAGGCGTAACAGTCCCCCAGGGTTCCTCCATCATCCTGGGTCCTGACTGCCTGGCCCTTTCTGACCCAGACACTCCACCAAGCCTCCTGACCTTCACCCTCCTCCAGCCTCCACAGTATGGCAGGCTGCTTTTAGCGGGCACCACCCTAACTACGGGATCAAACTTCACACACAAACACATACAACAGATGGAGGTATCATATGAACATGACGGTGGGCCGTCACAGATCGACCGGTTTGCCTTCACGGCCTCTGACAGCACCAATCGAGGCTTCCTCCTCGATGGGCGGTTACATTTGGAACCAGTTTTCTTCACCATTCAGGTGGGTTATAAAGGCATTATCATATTGTGAGATCTTTTGTGGATTTAGATGCTCTGTAATTGAAACACAACTCTCCAAGCAACATTAGCTGTTCTCTGCCACCATGGGAGAGATTGACCATCAAAAAATGCTCTGACTCTGATTGCACAACTCACATTTACGGACGGTCTGTGAGCCAATGGGAAGATGTAATGTATCTTTTTGTGTGATTCAATTCAATTGTATTTGTATAGCAAATCATGACTTATGTTAGCTCAAGGCACTTAACATACTGTAGTAAGGTTGAATTATAGAGAAACAACAGCATAAGCACTTTGGCAAATGTGGAGAGAAAATACTGGCAGAACCAGACCCAATCTGGGTTTCCATCTGCCTCGACTGGTTGAGGTTAGCGGAGTAGAATAATAATGATATTAATTATAATAGTTGTTGTTGTGAGTAGTGTCAGAGATACTGTACCCGAAGAGAGAGAGAGAGAGAGGGAGGGAGAGAGAGAATAGTTCACAGCTCAACTGAGCCAGCGATAACCATCTCCAACAAGAGGCTCAGGAGGTATAGGAGTTCGGCCACTGCCCCTCCCATTTGGTCACAGACCTGGGTCCACAGAGTTGAGCTCTGCAGTTAGACCCCTCTTTATTGTTTTAAATGGTATCACAACTAATCAACAAATGATGTGAGGGGGCCAACACAATATACTTTATCTGACTGTGATATGGTAAACTCATGCAGAATTTTTCAAATCTCGATGAAATTAAATTTCTTCCACTTCCTTTTCTATGATATTCAGCCAATATCTATTTAAAAAAAACATGCATCATTTCAGATCAAGCCTTTGGATAAGTCTGCTCCTGCGGTTGTGAAGCTACTCCCTCTTTGGAAGGCAGAGGTTTTAGGAGATGGACGATATGGGATCTATCTGTCATCTCGGGAGCTGAAGGCCAAAGACAGCGACAGCGGAGAAGAAGAGCTGATATTCTGCATCGTTCGCCCGCCCTACTTTGGTTACCTAGAAAACATGACTACAGGTAGGAAAATACATTTCCTATTTCCGTCTACACTCGAGCGAAACTTGAAAAAGCCAATTCTTCTCTTTGCTGTCGGCAGGTGGCTTTGTGCCACGGCGCTTCTCTCAGGCGGAGCTGAACAAGAGAACCATCATCTATATCATCGATCCAGACAGGGAGTCTCTCTCAGACAGTCTGGAGTTTACAGTGTCTGATCCTCTAGGGAACACAGGGCCCTCTCACATGTAAGGAGGAAAGAAAACTATGTGAGTCTTAATTCTATGATATATTAAATTACCTGTGTCATCCTGACCGTGCTTGATCTTATCTTTGCAGCCTGGAATTCAGCTGGTCCAGCGTGGAGCTGTCTCTGTCTCAGCTCTCTGTATGTGAGGAGCAGGGGGGTGTCTTGCTGGACATCATCCGCAAAGGAAACTTGGCAGAGTCATCATATATCACTGTCAAGGTCTGCGGCCATTTGTTATTGAAACTGACCAACTGTTGTGTTATTTCTCTTTATCAATATATTAAATTTTAAGCACGGATCAATAAAGCTATAAGAGCAGGATATGGATTTATTATTGCTACCTCATGCTCGACATATTTAAATGATGTATCTTTATGTAGGTGAGGGCTGTGACTGCAACAGCTGGTAAAGACTTCCTCATAAGTCCATCTTCCCTCATTCAGTTTGATCCAGGTAGGTACGGCTCAATATAGAAAGCTTGAACAATGCATTGTAAAGTAAGCAGTCACTTAAAGGTGGGAGCACAACTCATCTGTAAAACTGACCAACAATTTGAAAATAAATCTTGCCTGAAAGGGAAAATAGTAACTGGACCGTTTATCGTATGTAGATTGTTATCAAATCTACCCGATACAGTTACTACATTGTAGTTAGTGCAACCTTTTTGATGTTATGACTTTATTTTAGAAAATTCTTCTTTCAAATATTGTCATATTGTCATAATGGCCTAGTACTGTAATCTCCAGCTTTGGCTGCTTGCATAGCAAACTGAGGCGATGGCGTTTGAAAGTTTAAAAAAAGTTGCATAGGATCCAATTCCAGTGATCCCACCATCGACCATTGGGGAGGGATGACCTTGTCTTTTGCTATCACAGTGTAAAACGCCACAAGGCAAAGTCACAGTAAATACGACCTGTGCCAACTCTTGTAAAACGACGCTGTGATCTTTCCGTCTGTGTAGGAGTGTCAAAGAGGAGCTGGCAAATAGAGGTCATTCAGGATTACCTTGAGGAGGATGAGGAAATGTTTGAAGTGCTACTCGTCTCCCCTGAAGCCACAACAATAGGCAGCATCAACATGGCTCAAGTCACCATCAGGGATTCTGGAAGAGGTAAAATGAAACCCCACTTATTTATTTTTCCCCATTCTGGAGCAACATGCCAGCAGTTCATCTGGTTAGATACAAGCTATATATTGAGGCTGAATACTTACTGTAGTGCCCATGGGTAAAATCCACAAATGTAACAGAGCCAGTGAATCTTAAAGCTCAGGTAATTAATATCTTCCCAAAGGTGCTAGCGTAACATCTGAAAACTTTGTCGCCACAGGGCAGTGCAGGCTGAACCAGGATGAGGAGGCTCCTCTCCTTGGAGGAAAAGAGATAAGGTCAGACACCTATCCCCAACATGGATCCATTAAACTGGAAAAGCTTCCCTTAGGCACCGAATCAGTCCTCTGGGCCCGTGGAGACAGCATCTCCAGGCCTGCAAGTCTCCCAAAAAAGAAACTCAGAGTTATGGGCAATCCAAAGTCTGTAAGTACTTTCTCTCAAACATCAGTTATGGGTGAGACTTCATTTCTTGTTGTAGCTTTGTTCCAGTTTTCAGTAAAAATTTGCTAGAATCTTAAATTCTTGTTTTTTCTTTCAGATTGCACCGTCCTCCGTTTTTCACAATGGAACAGAGATTGTTTACACGGTGAGCAGCAACAACAGCTGACACTAAACTCCCAAGTTTTGAAAAACCAAAATTCATGCTCTTGTGAACTAAATTGTCCTTTATTCCAGTATCATGGCATCATGCAAGTGCAAGTAGAGGATGACACCTCCCCATCGAGGAAGGGCAGAAAAGCAAACATTCGGGTTGTTAGCAGAGGGGCACAGCAGCACACGTCAGCAGTGATAACTGAATCCAAACAGGATCCTCAAAGAAAGATCTCAGAACGTCGGAAAACTGGACTGGCTAAAGGACATGTGAGTAAAAACACCAGTGCCTCTTGGAAAATTGGCTCAGTTCTCTTTTGCCAAAATCTCTTCATGGCCACTTTAAGTGTGTCCGCTCTACAGTCTGTCTTTCTTTCCCTCAATTCCTTCAGCTTGACATTCTATTCATCTTTTTACCAATTTCTGTTTCAAATGGAATAATTAGTAATTAGTGAAATGTTGTCCTCACCAACCAGAATCAAGTTATATGTCATTCCCCCCAATTACATTTGACCAAATACACAAGGTTTTGGGACTTGTTGCTTGGACCAGTTGGGTTTTTATAATGATTGAAGACATGTGAGACTTGTCAGCTTTCAGCTACTCATACAGCTGCATTGATGTCTCCATTTTCTGGCCATCTTTCATGGATACAGCTAAGTTAGATGGGTAGCAAGCCAAGAAGAAGGAGACCTTATTCCAACTTCACCTTCAACTCTGTTATTGGTTGTTTTTTTTACTCCAACAGCTGTCACTGTCTTACCACTCAAATGCATATTGGTTGCTCCACACTTGATTCATAGGCTTCAGCTGATAACTCCATCCCCAAGCCCTGTGTGCCAGCACTGATGGGTCTCCTGCATTTCAACCAAACCACTAATCAGCTCTTTCACTGCAACGGTGTGTCCTGGAAACCTTGGACACCAACTGATCAGGTATTCCAGCATCACAACATGAATAAACAAAAATAAAATGCATCTTTGCATCAGTGGAATAAAGTAAAGGTCTCACCGTGGCAATATCTTAAGGGATATAATACTGTTTTATTTATGTTACTTATGCATTATGTGACTGGAAAGTTAACATTCACATTTCTCGTGCAATTTGAAATTTGAATTTGAATCATAAATTGTAGGCAATTATCTCTCTTTGAAATTGTGGACCAGTAAACGTGATCTCTGTTTTAATCTGATTAAGACGGATCAACAGCTATATAGATTTGTGTCAGTGCATTCATCTGTGATTGAAGTCAGTACTTCAGTACGGTAAGTTGTTTGTTAAGATATAAAGCCTGAAAAGTATTGTGGATCAAAAATAGAACCTTGCGGCACTACAGAGTGATTCATTTATCACTGTGTCTACTTCTTCTGTTTCCTTGAGTTGATCAAAGTAAAGTTTCATCTTTTCATTTTAAATGAATGATGTTCACCGAAGATTTCCGGTGTGTTTTCTCTTGGTACACAGGTGATGGGAGCTCAGAAGTGTCCTCAGGGCTGGACCTTTCATAGTGGCCAGTGCTACACCCTCAGCACTGAGCACAAAGCTACCTGGAGCACAGCTAACAGAGCCTGCAGGGAGAGGTACATTTCCATGCAAAGCTCAACCACAGTCTGTTTGTTCCAACAACCACACAAGATATGTTTGTTAAAGGATGAGCAGACCTAGAGAGAAATTGTCAGGGAGAAAGCGTGGCCATAGAGTTAACGCTTCTGATTACCGCTCTGTCACATGCAAGGACTGTATAATCTCAATTCCTTTTCTTTATCCCAGATATAAAGGAAGTCTAGCAAGTGTTCTCTCTAAAGATGACATGGACTGGTTGTGGGACTTCAGCGGAAGAAAACCATTTTGGATTGGTGGGTATTTCTTTATAGTTTGTTTCAAAATGTCTAATGTGTAATTTTACGGTTAAAAAGGGATTCCTCCAATTTTGCACATCAAGTCCAGTTTGTAAGATCAGTGCTGCTCATCAAGGTTTGTTAAACATTTACATTAAGAATCTTGTCAATTAACACGATTATGTATATTTACCTCTGATTACAATGTTAGCTGGCCTCCAACAGCATATCAACATCTCTGGTTTCACAGTCAAGGGCATTACAATGGATTTAAATTTGCATTTACAGTGGATCACCACAGCAGATGAATGGAGCAGAGCATTACTCAGTCAGATTCTCATCCTTATCACACCTCTCATCTGAGACGTCCGCTGTCACTAGCTGCGATTGCTGCTCGTGTCAATGCAGCATTTTAAAATCAGCCGTCCGGAGCACTTTGGGTTCAGTATCTTGCCCAAGGGAACTTTGGTCCCGCGGAACAGGGGAGACTGGGATTGAACCACGAACCCTCTGGTTAGTGGACAAACCACTCTCTCTTGAGCCACAGCCACCCGAATGGTCAAAAACTTCTTATAGAACTTTGTTGCTGCCTGTAAAAAAACGGATAAACAATCAATTAACATGACAATTAATGGTATTCAGTATTTGGCTCTCGCAGTGTGTTGGAAGGACTACAGTTTGTTCTTCATGAAACTTTAAGACCTATCTATATACAGTATACAAACATAATCTGATTTTTTTTTTTTTGCTCTTACTATATAAGGTCTGAATGACAGGGAAGGCCGAGGACGCTGGGAGTGGGCCGGCGGCGAGCCGGTCACCTACACCAACTGGAGAAAAACGCCCCCACGGTCAAAAATGAAGGGAAGCAAAAAGTGCATCCTGGTGTGGAAAAGAGCCAAGTGGCAGATACGGGACTGTAAAACCAGCAGGGGTCATCGCTTTGTGTGTGCAGTCAAGACTTGAATGTGACAGTATCACAGCCATGAACCGCTCACTGTGGGGTTTCAGAGGAGTTGCAGGAAGGACTCATTCTCAGGACGTTGACATGACGATCAGTGGGAACTTTGCAGGAACTCGCTATGATTTATTATGAACTTTGTGACAGTTATTGTGTCTAAAAAGTAACCTGCTACACTATGTGACACTGTTTACACAGCATTTATTCTCATTAGCCACTGAAAGTATTGGCATATACTATATTTAAAGCTCAGAAGAAAATTCTTAAAACTTATTTAGCATCTTTTAGACCAAACCAGGGCTGGATTAACAACAGGGGCCCCAGATACACAAATTTGTCAACTAGTTTGTGGTGTAGCCGCATTGTTGCAAATGAGTTTGTTGATATTGTAGTTTGTATAACATTACCTGAAGTGTCCAAAAGTTATAAAACTTTTATACTTTTAATTTATGTTGTGCTTACACTGTACATGATGAGGTTGTGTTTAATCAGATTACAGACTGACGTGGTATTTAAGCAGAATAATGTAAATACCATGTCTACTCTCTGTACACACTAGTGGTGTGTACAGAGGGAGGGGAGGGATCAATCTCACTCAATCGCTAAAGTCTAACGATGAATAAGACTCTGGGATTATATTTCAGTGCCTCGGGTGTAGGATGTGGAGATTCTTTCCTGCTCAAACGCAATTGGCAAAACTAGAAATCCCACAAATGTTGTCCCTCACCTACAGATTCAGTGTATTCAAATACAGGATCTGTTTTTAGAGATTAGGGAGGGGTCAACTGGAGAGTAAAGCTTTTCCCATCTCATGGGCAGAACTATCTATGTAGTAATCTATGCATTTCCACTTTTATTTTGCTTATTAACTTTTTAACGGATCTGCCTTTCAACTGTCTTTGATAACTAGGATGAAGCTGCACTTATCCAACATATTTAAAGTCTAATATTTTTTGCATTATCAGCTAATGGAATATTAAGTTCAAGTTAATTACTCTTACAGTACTGGCAGGAGTCAAATCTAGAATTCCCACAGTTTGAGTTCAGACAACAGACACAAATCTGTGATGACTCTGTTGTTTAGATCTCTGCCAGTGGGTCCTGCAAACCACAGGGTTAGGCAGAAATGTGATTATCCCCAGCATGTGATCTCCAGCGTCGGTATGAAAGGAGGGCTTTTATGTGAGCTGTGAGCAGTTCTCAGAGGTTTGGATGCACTGGAAAGAGACACCGTTCTCAGCTCCTCGGCTCGGTGAGTCTGACTCAAACTCAACAGATATACATGTGTATGTGTTTATAGATAAATGTCAACTGGTTGTTGTTATTGATCACCAGGCTGCCGTAAATTATTTAAAAAAGAGATATTTCTAAACCGTACAGTACAAAAGCAGCTTTTAAAACATCATTCAGTCGGGCGGAGTGTCTTGTGTCAGTCACATTTCCACTCATCGAGCTGCAGCATGCTTATTATCAGCAGGCGTATGTTTTAATTTTTCACATTAATCTTTCATGTGCTATAACACCATGTGGTTGCTGCTGTGCATGGAGTTCCCAACATTATTTCAAGGCTGTTTCTTATGAAAATTGATTTTTTTTCCAGATACATATGTAAGATGCTGTTATTGTGTCTGCTGGATAACCATGCCACTCCATTGACTCACAAAAATGTGATCTGTACACCAGCTAAAATGCTCGTGTTCGTGCACAAGGTGTTGGGAGGAGTCTTTTGCACTTTGGGTTTAGCTTATCCCTTTCAGACTTTTTTATCTGTTGCCCCGATTCAACAATCTACATTCAAGGCGTTTTAAAAGCAGAAAGACTGAAATGAAATACCTTGAGATGGGGGAATATCAAGACTCCCAGAATTGCTTACACTTCCCCATAATTGAAGTAGCCTAGTTGAGAATAACCCTTGCAACATCATGTTATCTCTCAAACGTCAGACAGAGAGAGACAGTATCCAAAGTCAAAGTAATTTCCATGCTGGTCTTGTTTGTAGTTTTATTACAGCGTGTTAATAATTGTATCACTGAGAAAGAACTACAACACATAGAAACATTAATTATTATATATGCCATAATCAATACCTACCTGAACTTACTGTATTTAAGACTGAGTACATGATATTTTTTCAAGAGTTTTCATATTTTTGAAGGCTTTTTTTATACTATTAATGTCAATAACATATTTCACCAAGGGCTGACTTTGCAGACACCAGATGCTGTGAAGAGCTGTATTTATATTCCAATATTATTATCATTATTACTACTACTACTACCAACAATAATAATAATTTCAGCTCACCCCTCAAAGCAACGAAGAGGCTCATTTGCCCTGCTGTAAATTATAACACTGGAAATATCATGGTCTGTGTCATTAATGTAATCTAATATCTGAAAATTGAAACAGTTTGTAGTTATTGTGTATTATTACATATTGGATATTTTTTAAGGAAGGACTATCAGACTTTTTCCTCATTAGGGTTATAGTAGTGTTCATACAGCTGTCTTATTTTGCAGGGCTATTGTGTAGTACTGTATATGGCTGAAGTGGTAGTCATATTGCTGTGCAGGCATAGGTTGCATGTCGTATACAGTGTTTCGTTTATAGCCTAGAAGTCTATAGATGAACATTTCTATTGAGCCAATAGGGTAATTATGAATTTAAATTAAAAGCCCATTGCTTCTAGACTCACCAAGACTCTTTTCTGTGTTTGTTGTTGTGAATTCAAGGTTTTGATCATGGCATAATCATCTGACTTCTCTCCTAATCTTCATCACTACGGGTGCAGAGGGACTGTAGAGAATGGATCATCATACTTCAGGCCATCACAGACAGTCCAGCCATGCCTCCAGCTTCCACTGGCTGTCATTTGCATACCAGGGCCTGACCGAAATCCCTTACGACACTATACTCACACAGACAGACACTCTGGAGGTGCTGGACTTGAGCTACAATCTGCTGGATGAGTATCCTTTTCTTAGTAATCAGCAGCTAAAGGACTTAAAGTCTTTAACTGCGGTCGTAGCCTGCAAAGCTTGGGTTGTTAAAAAGAGAGGCACAACTGAAAGCTGCACTTGTCAATATTCTTAGATTACAACTGACAAAATAACTATATGTAATGTCAAAGAGAATTATCACCAATGCTGCAGTTGTCTTCAGGTCTACAGATTTTTTGGATCCACACACATCCAGCTTTCTCGTTTACCTCGGCTTGAGTCTCCTGTGAAACAAGTTTAAATTCATTTACATTCTATTGTATTGCGCCAACTCACAACATACATTACTTAAAGCATTTACATAGTTGGGTCGAGACCTTCGAAATGATAGCGTAAAGAGTGTAGAGGAGAGAGAGTTTTGGGTGAGCGGAGAAAAATGAGGAAGAGAGGAGAGGGGTGGTAAAGAGAGGAGAGTGGGAGTGGAGAGGGGGAAGAGAATAGGAACAGTTATGTAAGCGTCATATTATAATAACAATGGTAATGATGATAATAATAATAACGATAATGATGGCAATAATAATAATGACAATAATTGTTGTGTTGTGTCAAAGCTGGTATAGATGTTATTAATGAGACCAGCACCAGTTAATATCTAATATCTTTCTCTGTAGCGGATTTAAAATATGAAAACAGCTGCTGCAGCTGGAAATGTATTTAATGAGAACAAGTTGATGGTGGAGATGAAACATGCTCTGCTCCTTAAAGCTGACGGGAACTGCAGGGTTTGATGGAAATCTGCTGCAGGTTTATCACTACAAATCACACCTTTTATATTTGATTAATGTGAAAAGATTGATATGTGCAGCTTTAAGAACCTTAAAACACTTTCTTGCCTGTGGCCTCATTTACCAGAATTAACTTAGAAGCATGTCAAAGTCAACCATTTTGACAGGGACTCATTTGCAGAGTAAGAATTTCCCACACATAAATCAACCTTCCTTTCTATTTGCTGTACAAAATCCAGCAGCTGGATATTCTATCGATAACACAGGTAAACATAAATTATGCAGCGTATTTCCTCAGAGAGAGACGAGCCTGAGCAGCTGGAGTCACAGCATGTTCTCCTTCATTCAGTCTTTATTGGAACCCGGTTCTGCTCGGTCAGCTGGAGAAGCTCAGCACTCTGATTCTGGACTGCAACAAGTACACATCTCACGTCAAGTTCCCCTACATGCCCAGTGTGACCACGGTGTGCATCAACAAGAACCAAATCAACAATCTGCCTGTGTTTGTGGAAGAGATACGACGCAAGTTCCCCAACCTCAAGTGAGCCTCAGATTGTATGTCGTATTTCTGCAAGGGATCTTTTTGTCTTTTCTGCTCCAGCAGACCTCTTGAAAAGATTTTTTTTATTGTTGCATTTACTAGAAGGAAATTTGTCTTTTTAACAACTAAAAGAGAAATAAAAAGTCCTGCAATAAGATTTCAAAACTAGATAGACAACCAAGAGAAAACACAACAGTCTAATGTGCTCAAAAATCAATCTGGTCCAAATGCACATTGTGCTCGGGCGAGTGGAATCAAGTCTCTATGTCGAGCTATTAAGACATAGAGACTGTTCTTCAGCACAGGTCCTCCCAACACCAGCCACTCTGAGTAACCTAATCATAACTTACATTTTACTTAATACCTCTATGAAGTCTTTAAACATTGAGGATAAAAACCATGATATAACATTGTCTGGAAGAAGTCCCAAGAGACACGAAACAGTGCATCCTGTCCCTTTGTCTGTTTGTTGGTTTGTGAAATGGATTTTCACAAAACTTGGTGGAAGGATGCAATATGGGTCAGAGAGGAACCCATTGGAATTTGGAGTGGCTCTAGGATTTGGATGTGGATTTTATATCTTTCTTTAACATTGCATGATAGGGTGAATAAAATCAGACTATCAAATATGTGTTTTGGTGCAGCTTGATTGACCGTAAAGTGACTGTTTGGCCTTGGCAGAGGTATGTGCTCTCCTGAGTAACATTGAAGTTAAAAAGAAAGAAAGAAATAATGTCATGCCACATTTTGCCTGCTTTATCACAATCATAATACAGATAAGTGATCAATTCTGCATCTCCGACAACATAGAATTTATTCTATTCACTATCTTATTTGAAAAAATAACATCATGATGCAATGTTGTTTTTTTTTTTTTTCCAACATTATCATTCTCTTGTGGATTCTTCTTATCCAGGTCCATTCCCTGCTCATTTTCCCCAAATGTGGCCATTTTGGAAGAGTTTCTCCATGAACCAGTGTTGCTCAAATTATATCTCTTTTTTTTCTTCCATCAATCATCAAGAATATGAAATCCAGCATTAATCCTCTTTATGTATTAGTATTTTTCGTCTATGCCATTTATAGGATCCGCTTAAAAACGTGAGTCTGATTTAATTAATGATGTCCCGATCTGAACTGACAATACCGGGTTTTGAAATGGAGCCGGCCTGTGTGAGAAAGGCCTTCAGAGGTGAAAAGCGTACAAGGTCCTCCTCATGTAGGAATCCTTGTAGGGTGCATATGTGTTGTAGCCTCCTGAGGAAGAGAGACTGACAGATGGTGACATGCACAGTGGAAATTAATAACCCTCCCTTTTATTTTCATACAACCTCTCCTCTATTCCTTTCAACCACAGGATCCTCAGTATGATGAACAATGAGGCAGCACCAAGCTACTTCAATGGAGGAAGTCTGACCCAGTACAAAGACTACAGGTGAGCACTGTCGACTTGTTTCTGGTCTCTAATCATAAAAGTCTTGTGGTATTGTGGCCTCTACTCTTTTACTGTTTGAACTAACATTATGCTTCTAAGCAGGGACATACCATATTTTTTTCTGGGAGTACAGGGGATTCAAGCAACATCTTACAATTTAAATGTTCAGACATTTCTCCACTTCTAGATATTGTGGACGTTTGTAGACTCTGTCTAAGTTGGACTTTTTAGCTCAGTAAAAATGGACAAATCAATAAACAAAATTAGTAAATAAAGGATTTATTATTTCGCAAGCAGAATCGGCCAGTGGGAAACATTTAGGAAAATCACGTTGGAAATTAAAAAGTAAATCAAATGACTAGGAATATGGATGAATCAGACAGTATAGGATAATGGTCTTTCATCCTCCGTACACTGTTTCGAGTCTAACTGCACAGTCCACTACACGAACAGTGTTACTTTATGTCAGTGTTTTAGATCCAGGCGACATGTTGGCTCATCTCTATCAGCTACCTGCATACGTATAAATGAACACTAGCTTAGTTTTAGAATGAAATACAAAACAACATGGTGACACAACAGCATACAATGGTACAACACCTACATACAACATGAACACAAGGGAAAAGAAGAGAGACATGGGGGGTGTGGAGGCCCCAGGGTCCAAGAGGACTGACRCAACCATTTCCACTTCAGTCCTTTAACTAGTTGTGTATTTTAACACACTTTAGTTTGTCTTTGTCTGTTAAACGTGGATAGAATTCAACTTAATGGCTCTGTTGCTTTGTCAGCTTCTGCGTCTCAGTGAGTTGTGGAGGTGGATCGACCCACGTCACGTCCCATCACTGCAGTAGAAAGGCACAGCACACTGAACACTGCCAACACTGTTCCAAACTATCAGAACTACATGTACAGTACATGCTGCAGTTTGTGTCATTTATATACAGTATATATATATAMATCACAAATCCAATGGGTTATTTCACCATAGCAGTGAAAATGAACATGTTAGTTTGTGTTTAAGCTCTTTCATGAATTCATTTTGTGTCTACACTGTTGGAGCTGAGTTCATTCCACTTTATTACTGCTGTTGTCGCTGCTGCTGTGTTGTAGCACATTTCACTYTTGAAGCTGTTCCATCGTTTCTTCAACACATGTGGGAGCAGAATCCAAACATCTCTTCAGTCTAATACGGTCCAGTACATCCTTCAATTCAATTTGATTTGTATAGCGCCAAATCACAACATACATTATCTCAAGGCACTTTACATATTAAGGTCCAGACCTTGAAGATAACAGAGAAACCCAACCCAACTATGGCGAGAGTAAAACTAAGTAAGTAAATCTACTTCAAGTATAAAAAGTCAAGTGCAGCCCATTCTCTCCTCTGTCTGTATATTGTTTAATACAATGCTAGTCCACTCTGTCATATATCTCTTTTAAATGCAGTCATGGACGAGGTTTATTTCACGACTGAGTCTTGGTGGTGGCCTCGTCCAAATCCTTTTTACATGCGTCTTCCACCAAATGTGCTACTGCTGCAGGAGGCGTGGTCTAATCCTACCTGCCTGTTCCGATTGGATCAGTGGACTAGTTCCATTATTGAAATATTCCAAAAATAAAGCAAACATGTAACACAGTGCATTGTTAAAAGATATACTGGTGTAGACTCAGATATTTACTCATATATGAAGTGGAGTAAAATTTAAAATTACCTGAAAATGAATCTACTTAATTCAAGTTTTGATTACTTTTTAAATACATGAAAAATGTAGTACTGTAATGGAGTAAATGTACTTCATTACAACCCACAACTGCATCTATATATATGAGGTCAACCTGCACACAATGTTCTGCAAATGGTGTTTTTCATTTTTCTGTTCATTTGTTCCTCTGCAGACAGTACGTCATCAGTCAGATCCCAGGTCTGGAGATTCTGGATGACACAGAGGTCCTGGAGAAGGAGAGAGCCCAGGCTCGGAAAAC